ACACAGAGCATGTACTACCATGGAATGTTGATCAAGGACTCAAGGAAGGTTGATCAGGAAACCATCCACTCATCTACCAATCAAATCACCCATCTACCCATCTATCTTCCATCTGTTTGTCTACTCATTCATCCATCTATCATCCATGCACCCAACCGTTCATCAATCTATCCATCCTACTATAGACCCCTCATTTATCCATCCATCTATCCAATCATCCATTTATCCATTCAATTTTCCATACATCTATCTACTCATTTATCCATCCAAACAACCACTTATCTAACAGAGAGACTGGGAGTTAGACAAATTCTCTGGCAGGCCATCATATAGGGAGAGATGCCATGGCTAGGTGCTAAAGATGGTGCGCTTCCAAGATGGCTTGCTTCTTCCTCACCCTCCTGACCTGAGACAAAAGCCTGACAGCTTAAAACAAGGCCTTGTGGGCTTTTTCTCCTGCTGATGGACTGGCTCAACAAGTTCAGGCAGGATAAAGACATGTTACACAACAGTTGTAGGCCAATCATCCATCCTACCTTTATTCAAACTGCCTAATCCTAAATCAGGGGAAGAAAATTCTTCAGAGACTTTAAAAACACTCAGCCATTGAGAATGGACTGGATTTTTGGTTTCCTGTCCGTTAGGCTTTAGAGAGGGTTGTTTTCTCTATGTGTCTGTTGTATATATATATATATATATATGTTTCCTCACCCCCAATAAATGCATTTCAACTGCTGATTCTGTCTGTGCTTATTTGTGGTGGTTAAGATTTCTCTGCTGCTACCTGTCATGTTCAAGATTTTTCTTGCCTTTTACTTATTTAACTGGAGGAGAAAATGAACCTGATTTAAAAGCCCTAGACTATATCATAATGCCATACCCATCCATAATCAACTCATTCATTCTTCTATCCATCTGCTCACTCATCTATTCACATGCCCTTCCATTCAGCCATCCATCTACCCATCTTCGCATTCATCTACCCAAGGATTGGCTTATTTGTCTGTTTCTTCACCCATCTATCCATTCACCAGTCCACTCATCCACCAACCACTTATTTGGCACCTAATCTATGTAGGAACTATGTATGATAAACAGTAGTAAAAAATTAAAATCTTCCGAACTGTCCAGCAGGAATGAGGAGGGGGAGGGAGTCCAGATAACATGACAATGGTGTGGAAATACATCCATGATACTGAATCCAAGAGTCTTCATTCCCGCCCCCCAATATCCCAGTCTGCAGAGGACATCACTGTTGACAGTATAATGGGCATCTACTTTGAGGGTGTTAGGAAAGACTAATTTTGGTGTCACAAAAAGGAACATATGAACAAAGTGAAAGTAACTCAGCATGGCAATTTCTTTTTGCAAAAAGGGCACGTAATGCCCCAGGATAAAGCTAGTGAATAGCAGGACACATGGCCTAGATGACCTCTGTCTTTTATCCCTAACACAACAGGGAGGTTGCCTGTTCCTCACTGGCTGAGGTTCCAACCTTAATGTCTATTGATTGGCTAATTTAGAAAAGTGGCATGAAAAGGGAAAATAGAGAGAATTAGCAAATAGGTAGAATTAGCAATGTTTAGAAATTTAAACATTTTAGGAATTTCAGGAAGCCAATTATACCTGATCAAACAAGATTATCTAACAAAGAACTGACAAAAGGGACTCTGGAGGAGAGGACAGAAAAGGAAGCAGATGTTCAGCCATTAAAGCTGTTGATAAGAGAAATGACTAAAATGTCTTACAAAGTCAAACTCTGAAAAGCAGAATTATTAAACAAAGGTGGGTCTATACAACAAGGTTTATACAGTTTATAGTGCTCTGAAGCCCCATCCCCACCCCAGCAACCACACATAAGACTCCTTTCTTACTCTTCATTGTCAGTGCTTTCCCATCACTTGTGCATGAGAGAAAGCTGACATGGGAACAGAACCCACTAGTATAAAGGTATATAGAAAAACAAGGCATCTTTCCTAGTATTAGGAACTGACTTGAGACCTCCTCTGAAATTAATGTGTTTAAGCCCTATCTTCAGTATCTCAGAATATAACTATGTAGCCAAACAAGACATTTAAAGTGGTGGTTAAGAAGAAATGAGGTCACTAGGATGACTCAAAATTAATCTGTCTGGTGTCCTTGTAAGAACTGGAAATTAGGAAACAGACACATAATGCAAGCAAATGAGGACACAGTGAAGAGATGGGAGTCTACATACAAGTTAAGGAGAGAGGCATTGGGAGGAACGAGTCCTTCCTTTGATCTTGCTAGATCTTTCAGCTTCCAAGCCTGGAAAGGGATCAATGCTTACAACTTAAGCTATCTAGGATATAGGACATTAAAAAATGTCTCTATTTCATTTCTATTTGTACACACACACACATACTCAGAGGACAACTTATGGGAGTTTGTTCTCTTCTTTCACTATATGTATTCCAAGGATGACACTCAGGTCTGCAAGCTTGGTGGCAGGGGCCTTACCAGCTGAACCATCTCACCAGCCTCTGTGAGACCACTTTTTAATGATAACCATTGAGAAATCAGATATTGAGCATTTATGGGACTCCCAAATCAGTCATGGAATGCATTTGCAAGAAACAGATCCTACTGGCTCTAATAAGCTTGAGGATTCAGCATGAAATCTCTGGGAGCAGTTGGAAGCTCTAGGAAAATATCTTCAGAAGAGGGAAGGCAGGAGGGAACAAATGAGATGGCCTACTCAGGACCAGATGTGATGGAGGGGAGAAAATGTCATTGTATCTGATAACCTGTGGTCAGGCTACCCAGCTACCATGTATTTCCCCCTTAATCCAGCAGACTCCAATGATTTCTGATGTTCCATGTACCTTTATGTTTGTTTGTTTCTTTATTCTGAGACAAGGTCTTGCGCTATAGCCTAGGGCTGTCTTGAATTTATGAGCTCCCTCCTTAGCCTCCTGAGTGCTGGGATTATAGGCATATGCTACATGTTCAGCTCCCACGTAATTTTAAAAAAAAGATTTACAATTATGTACTTTCCTTTCAGCTATAAATACTTGTAATTGTTTCCCTACTACATGGTAAGGTCCTACAGGATCTTATACTTCACACATACACAGAAAAGGTATTACTAGCGGGATATGATTATCTCACCCCTGTTATCCCAGAAAGTGTTGAGGTAGCAGGATCAGCAGACTTTTGATACCAATCTGTGCTACACAGGGAGTTTCTGGGTGGGAAGTGACACCATATCTCAAAAATAAGAAAAATTTAAAATTTTAAAAACAAAAAAGTTATTTCTATTTGATTTTGGTGAACAACCAGCAAATAATAATTCCTATGTCAACATTTTTGTGTTATCTCAACAGAATACAATAAAACACTTTATTTCCAAGTATCAAATAGCAGATTAACAATCAATTTCTCATAGAGACATGTTTATGTTACTTTAAAACCTGCGTAAGGACACTAGGTATCTTTATACCTTTGCATTTTAGACTGTATTGTTTTTTACTAGTCTTTAATTTCTCAAGCATATTATTTCTTGCTGATCCTCCAGAAACTTATAAATTCCAAAGTTTCAATGGTCTTGCCATTCTTCAACACACACACACACACACACACACACACACACACACACACACACACAAACACACACAATGCAATTCTGAAAATTGCTAGGTTTATAACTCAAAAGCAGACTGCTTCTGGAACTAATTTCTTCAGAGTAGTTAAGCAGTCAGTTGAAAGACATGGCCATGATAAATAAAGCACAGGGCCCCTCCTCCCTTCTCCCTATTCCTGTGAGCTCTGACAGAGCCGTTGACACACATAATCACATGTGCACACACACCACATGCACATTATAGCTGTCCATGGTGACATTCTCTATACATAGCATCGTGTTGCACCCCCATGCCCTGCACAGCTGGTGCTCAGCACGTGACTGACTCAGAACCCAGGAATAAAGCTCTAATTGTCCTCTTCAGACACTGCTAAATTCTGTAGGCGGATTATTCAGCAGCCTTTCTTACCCATGGGTGCATCAGTTTAGCTATGCAGACTGTTAAGTAATTGCAGGGATTTCTGAGGTAGGCACACAGTCAATCTGGTCACCTTAGAGTCACATAAACATGTGACACTTCTGAATAGGGATAACAACAGTTAGTATAAAAACATGTGAAACAAGACACCATTGCATAAAGTTCTTGAAAGTATACATCTAAATTTCTGCAATGGAACCCTGAGCTTTGACATCACTGTTTCATTTGCATATTATGCTAGCCACATATGATGTATGAGACATTAGGAAAATCTTCACTCAAGAAAGACTGGTGCATGCCGATTTCCATCCTTCCACTGGTCCTCGTAACGCAGGATTGTACTACATCTGCAGATATACACTCTTCACTTTCCCCTTCCTCAGGAAGGGCAAGATCACACTGTGTACACATCTAATTGAATCCATCCTCTGCACAGCTTAATAGTTACATGCTCCTGTCCACAACAATCTGGAATTGATTGTTGCAGGCAACACTGTAAGAGCACAGATCTTGCCTCTCTCTCTCTGGGGAGTCAAGTGACTTCCATTTTAAAGCTTCAAGTTAACTCATTAAATAAACCCAATTTAGAAAGCTTCACCAAAATCCTTTCTGACAATTCTGAGACTATGGCCTACAAACACAGCTGTGTGTCAGATAGTAAAAGTATCTCTTCAGTTAAATACTTTGTTCAAGGATGTTAAACTGGACATTTATTTTGTCCCCATAAAGCATTTCACTATAAGAAAAACACAACAGCCATTTTAAGAACACTAAAGGCCATTACTGCCCTGCTTCTCTGGGCAGGGCTGCAGAATTCACAGGCTCTCTCTCCTTCTAACTCTAAGATTTTAGTGATGGTGAAAATCACACTCAATTATCAAAACCCAGATTTGTCCTATTAATCTAGCATTCACCTCCCATAAATATGTTCACCCGCAACACAACTTTTCAGCAACCCCGAATCCACAATTCACCCACCTTGGAGCAGAGCATCCCTCCTCAGCCTGCAGTGTACACTGAAGTGCTTCTTTGTGCCCACCAGAGTCCTCTGCCTGCCTGTTTGGCTCGACAGGCACTTCCTGTGAAGAGCAACACCATGAGACATGGAGTCATCAAGCTGCCTGCATGCCTGAGACGGCTGTTATTATGAAACCCTTCATTTGTGGGTTTGCTTTGTGTGCCTGTCCCACAATGCCTGTGGCAAGGCCTGTTGTCTCAGACTCGAGACCTGGTCACAGGACATGGAGGTTCATCTCCATAAGGCACTTTATTGAAAACAACTGACCTAGGACCCCTGCATCCACTTCAGTGCTAAGCAAGAAAAAGAACTCCTATGTGAGGGCTGTTACCATGTGACACAATTGGCTAAAAGAAACACATTAAAAGACAGCTGGCCACAAATCATCACTGCGAAACCTCACGCTCTAGGACTTGTGGGGGCTGGGATTCTTACTCCTTACTGAGAAGGCATGGAGCTCTTAGAGATCACACTGAACCGTGTGGATAAGTCGGAGTGTAGCAACAGCAGAAACAAGCTCTCCCCAGGTCTGCATGGAGTTTCAGTACCAAATGCCAAAAAGCAAACGAGCAACTATCCTTCCACGTACAACATGGTGGGTATCTTCTAAGAAAACTACTAGTAGTTTTTTTTTTAAATATAAGAAAATGAGGCTGTTAATATTGCAACATTTACCCCCACAGAGCAGATACACAGAAAAAGCACATAGAGGGATAGGGAAAGAAGAGAAGGACAGGGAAAGTGACTGACAGTGGACACTAAAGTACCGATAAGAAAATACAGTTTTTTAGAGAACTCAACATTAACTCAAATATCAAAACTGTCACCTGAAAATAGTGCAGGAGGGCCTGGGTATGGTGGTACACACCTGCAATTCTATCACTCGGGAGGTGGAAGCCGGAGGATTGCAAGTTTGAGGCCAGACTGGTCTATAGAGTGAGTTCCAGTCAGTCTGAGTTATATAGTGAAACCCTGTTTCAAAAACCAAAAACAGAAAATAAAACAACAAAAAATAGCTGGAAAACAGCTGAGGGCATAGTTCAAGTAAGATGATAGCCTAATAACAATAAGGCCCTAGGTTCTAATCCCAGCACTACGGAGGAGGGGAGTGCATTAGTTTTATGCATCACTAAATACATTTTACCAGAGTAATTTTATACTCAGTATAACTACTCAGGAAGCTGAGGATCACAAATTCCAAGTTTGTCTGAACTACAGTGATCCTGCTTCAAAAAAGAAAAAAAAGGTAAAAAGAGTGAGTATAGCTCCATGGTAGACTGCTTGTCTAGAATATGCAAAGTTCAACCCTGGGTACTGGCTGCGAGGGAAGGTGGGAGGTGAGAGAGAGAATATATATATAGAAAAAATAAATAGCAAAGGACATCAACTTTTAAATGTGATTATTTTTAATGCCACCCCACATCAATATTTAAAAACTGGCTGGGTGAGTATGCTGGAGAAACGGTTCAGCAGAATCCTTGCTGCTCTTGGAGAGGACTGGAGTTCAGTTCCCAGCACCCACATTGGGCAGTTTACAATCTCCTATAATTCCAGCTCCAGGGGATTCATCTGGCCTCCATGGGCACTAGCATGCATGTGGCATGCACACATACATATACATGAAAATAAAATCTTTAAAGAAATGGCTAGTTTATGTTAAGCCTTTAAACAAAGCACCCATTTTCACTTCATTAGATAAAGTGAATGCTTCCTATAGTCTCCCAGCAAGCACCCAGAGTTCTTTGCTTAACATGAGAAGAGAGACAAGCTACTTAACTAAAAGACAGTGAAGTGAAAGTTAGGAAGAGAGAGCTGGGGATGAAAGAGCTGTTTGCACAAATGTGGCACTTAAATGATAGTGCTGGAAGCAATTTCATTCCCTTATCTTTCAAACTAGAAATAACACTCTTGCACCTTAGTAAGCCATCATATATGCTGGGTGTGTCCTAAGTGTCTGTCTTAAGGCAGTGCTCAGTGCAAGCAAGGTCACGGCTTATGGTACACTGCTTACCTGTGAGTAGTGATCTGTGGACGGTGATGACCGGGACCGTTCATGAATGTACTGTGGCCTCTGCTGCTGATCTAGACCAGCATCTAGAATATCATCTGCTGAGTGGTACCGCCCAGAACTCCTGGCTTCCAGAGGTTTTCTCTGTTCCTTCCAAGATGCCTGATATTCTGCGAAGGTTCCAAGCCTTCTGGGTGGATTCAATTTCTCAGAGGCCTTTTCTACTTTTCTGTCATCACTGGGGATCTCTCCACAGGAGGTAGCCTGTGACCTCTTCTGGAACCAGGACTCTGTACTCTCATGGCCCCCTGTCTGTGGCCTCTCAGCCTTCTCTCTTGAGAGCCCACAGACAGCTTGCCTGTGGCTTGGCCTCTGGAGAAGAGATTTGCTTGTTTCCTCGAAAAACTTCCATCTGTCAGCAAATGTACCCACAGTATCCTCAGGTGTCCTGACATTAGGATGAGGACTGTGGTCCCCTGAGAGACCCACTTCATTCATTTTCTCTGGCTCAGAATAGGACTTCAGTTTCTGTTCTGCTGTGAACCGTTTCCGGCCTCCAATTCGAAGAACGTGAGACACACCACCTCCAGAAGAGGGTGGCTTGGCCAGACCTGCCTCACAGAGGCGGGGGACAGAGTCTGACTCCCCAGGGAAAGAAGACAAAGAAGATACAGCAGTTTGGTCACAAGTCCTGTGTTCTGATTGTCCTGAATACTGATCTGCTGGGGTGGGATCTAAATCACGGCGCTGGAAGGAGGTGGCCTTCAGGACTCGTGTCTGGGCCTCCTTCAGGTGCTCTTTATAGGTGCTGGGGAAGGAACCTTCTGGGACAGCCCCCACATCAGCTCTCCAGTCTCCAGCACAGTCCTCAGTCTCACTGTCTCCAGCCAGTGTCACAGTGCTCTTGCTCTTCTGCAGCTTTGCTCTGCGCATCTGGATCTCATTCCTCAGTGTTGTGGCAAAACGGTCACTCCTTCGTGTGGGTTTACCCATCTGGGTATCAAGCAGTGGTGGCTTCTCATTTCCACAATCCTTACTGTTCTCGGGTCTCCATGTGCCATCTTGGGTCAGAGAGTGCAGCATGGGTGTCCTTTGACGAGAAATTCTCCCACTGTCTCCATCCACCAACTTGAAGTCATCAGCTTTCACAGTGTGGCTGGCTTTAGGAGGCTCTTGGATTTCTGAGCAGCAGCCTTCAATCCCTGCATCCAGCTGTTGATACCCCTCTCTTTCATGAGAGACCAGGGTCTCCTCATGCTGTTGTAGGTAGCACCTCTGGCCCACTGGGCGCAAGAGAGGATATTCAAGGTCCACAGGAGTTGTGTCTGAATGCCAATAGTTACCTCGGGGTATCACAACCTGGGCATTCCCCTGCACAGGCTGCCTGTGGGGCACAGAAAAATAGTGGCTCCGCCCTCTGTCATCCAGCTTCTGGTTGGTAGAACCAGACCACCTCACCTGAGCAGGGCTGTCATCCTGGGATGGTACAGGAGGCTCCTGCAGACCTCCACCAGGAGTCATACGAGGCAGCTCCCTTGGTGATAAGGGGACCCTTGGGCTCTCATCACTGCACTGCCGTGGGTGGTGGCTTCCATGGTAAGACTTCAGGAAGCGCACATCTGTGCTGGACAGGGAGAAGTGGTGCCTGCCTGGAGCCCCTGAGGGTCCACCTGCTCTATCATCAGAGGATAGCCAATGGCAATCCAGGTGGCCTTCTTGCTGGTAACCCAAACTTCCTATTTCTTTGCCACTGCTTGGGTGTGCCAGCCTCCACTGTCGATCAGTAGTTTCCAGTCTGCGGTCCCCCCGGGGTTGCACTTGGGGCAGTGTGGTAAAGTGCTGCATACTGGCCAAGTCTGAAAATGGAGGGCCCCGTGCCTTTTCATGGCCCCTGGCTGCCACAGCAAAGCTATCACTGCGCAAAGGCGGTGCAAGCGGGGGAGGAGAAGAAGGGGCTTTTTTCTTGTCAGGGATATACCAAACTGGTCCAAAACTGGATCTTCCAGAAGTGGTTGTTTTGGGCTCAACATTATCCTCTGGTCTTGGGCTTTTACTGCTGTTACCAAGAACCCTGGGTGTGAAACATGGCCTGTCCTGTAGTCCCTGAGGATCACCTGCAGACTGGCTTGGCCGGCTGTTGCCTGGCCTGGAGGCCTCCCAGAGGCCAACTTTGTAGAGAATGTTCTCAGTGGAAGAGGCATCGGCCTTGGGCAAGGTATGGTCAGGGGTGCTGGAACAGGTAGAAAAGGAGCCATAAGCCGAATCTCGCTTGCTGTGGCCACCCAGGTGGTCAATGCTGCTGTTGGACTTGGCAGATGACAGGTGTCCAGATGGGTAGAGCTGGGAGCTATGGTCCAGGCTATCTATGCTGCCCACAGAGCTGAAGTGGTCAGAAGTGCGCTGTAGGCTTGTGTGCTCCCACGAGCCAGACAAATCATGGGAGGAAGAACTTCAACAAGAAAAAGCACAACAAAAGGTTTGCAAACAGCAAGATCTGATGAAAACAGCATTATAAGTGTAGTTGGTCCTCCACTGAGGGGGACAGGATTCTCAACAGTAACTGATTGGGAATTGGGAGGGGAGGTATTTCTGAGGGCACACTGAAAAGACAGTTAACCTTCCGACTGCCTTTTAAAGATCCTTTTCAAAGCTACCACAATTTCTCAACCTAATGCCCACGTTGATGCAGGCAGTGCCTGAATTAACATCTATGGTCTTTCATTGGTTAAAAGCAGGGACTGGAAAATGACAGCTCATGAACTAAGAATGGTTCTTAGCTTTTTAAAAATTTTTTAAGGGCTGGAGAGATGGCTCAGCCATTAAAGGCTAGGCTCACAACCAAAAATAAAAATTTTTTAAATTTATATTTTTATTATTGTGTGTGCATGTATACATGATGTGTGTGTGTGTGTGTGTGTGTGTGTGTGTGTGTGTGTGTGTGTGTGCATGCAGGCCTGTGTCATGCCATGTGTGTAGAGGTCAGAGAACAACTTTTGTGAAATTGGTTCTTTCTTGCTGCCTTTCTGTGAGTTCCAGGGATTGAGCTCAAGTCATCTTGCACTGCAAGACTTTTACCCACTGAGTCATCTCACAAAATAATTTAAACAGGCTCTTAATATCCAGTGAGATTGAAACAACAATTAAAAGTCTTCCAACTTAGCTGGGCATGGTAGGACACACCTTTAATCCCAGCACTTGGAAGGCAGAGGTAGGAGTACCTCTGTGAGTTCAAAGCCAGCCTGGTTTACTGAGCTAGTTCCAGGAAAGCCAGGACTATATAGTGAGACCCTGTCTTAAAACACACAAACACAGCCAGGCGGTGGTGGCGCACGCCTTTAATCTCAGCACTCGGGAGGCAGAGCCAGGCGGATCTCTGTGAGTTCGAGGCCAGCCTGGGCTACCAAGTGAGTTCCAGGACAGGCGCAAAGCTACACAGAGAAACCCTGTCTCAAAAAACCAAAAAAAAAAAAAAAAAAAAAAGGAAAAAAACCACACAAACACACCAAAAATCTTCCAACTTATAAAAGCCCAGGGCCAGATGGATTCAGTGTAGAATTCTATCAAACTGTCAAAGAAGTAACATCAATATTCCTCAAATATTCCATAAAGTATTAAAGCAAGGACATTTCCAAATTCTTTTTATGAAGTCAATATCACCCTGATACTAAAACCGGACAGACCCAACAAAAAAGAAAACTATTTCTGAAAGAACATGAATACAAAAGTTCTGAATAAAATACTTGCAAACCAAATTAAAAAACACAGCAAAAAGATTATCTACCATTACCAAGTTGCCTTTATCCCAAAGATGCAGGGATAGTTCAACATGCATAAATTAATAAACACAATCTATAATGGACTAAACCTCTGAAACTTTAAGTCATTCCCCACACCAAAAGAGGGTGGTGGCTGACCACAAAGGGGTGCCATGGAAACCCACCCAGTTAGATTCAGAACTACCAACTCTTTGATGTCCCACTTGACAGTCCCAAAGGGACTCTTTAAGAAATACCCACAAGAGAAAACAAGCTTGTTCATCCTTTGTCTAGCCATTTAATTTTGTTTTCTATTGTGTTCAGTAAAATTTTCAGTTCTAACCCTAATTGAACATAGGTAGCCTTGACTATTCTGAAATCAAGACACTCATGGAAATTTCTGAGTATTCACAGAACGCTACAGTTATACAGATCACACATGGTGTCTCATCTCAGGGAAAGACTACCTACCTAGCCTGGTGCTGGCTCTTCCAGGAAGGGGAACCACTGGTGCTCAGAAACAGTGAGGCTGCTGGCTCAGAGTGGGTATCGAAGAACTTGGTGGCATGCCAGGAGTGAGGCCTCCAACTCGGATCACTTTTCCTGGAAAAGAATGCAGACACTGAGGGACTTCACATACTAGATATCTTCCTGTCTGAGACATCAGCAGGAACCCAACAAAGGAAACTAGTGGCATCTGCTGGCACCCAATACACAGCATGGCTTACGGCTACTTTCCATTGTATATAGGCATGCACATTTTTTCAGATGGTTGTTAATGACCAAATTGTCATGATGTAGATTGGGTATCATAGGCTCTAAGGCAGCCCTTAATCTTTTTAATTTATTCTTCCATAAATGGATAAGATTATTGTTTTGTCAATTAGAAATTTTTTAAGCGTTTGAGACAATATCTAATGTACCCCAGACTAGCCTTGATATCTGATCTTCCTGCCTCCATCTCCTGAGTCTTCAGTTTTATGCAGTGCTGGGGATGGAACCCAGAGTTTTATACATACTAGGCAAGTACTCTACCAACTGAGTTATATCCCTAGCTCTTATTTTGTTTTGTTGTTATTGCTCTTTGTGTTTTTTTTTTAAGACAGGGTATGTATGAGGCCTTGGGACTGAACTCCAGTACCCCCAAAACAACAACAAACACCTTCAGGGGAATGCCACAAACATGAAGACCCATCTTTTCAACTCTAAAAGTCACTGCATGAAGGTACCTTTACTTCTCAGTGCTCCAGTTTAAGACAGAAATAACCTCACAGTAGATAGTTTTGAGCCAGTAAACAATGGAAAAAGAACCCACTGAACACCTTTAGGTAAATAATAGACTAGACATTTTCTCCCACAGAAAAAATATTGAAGAATGCTATATTATAAAGAATATTTTTGGCCTGGCCTGGCCCCAGGCAGCCTGAAAAATAACACCTAAGTGTGTGCCGAGGGGCCATGACCATGGTCTGGGTTGCCACTGAGGGCTATTCAGATGTCCCCGATCTGGGCTGCCACCTGAGGCCATGGGGATGTCCAGGACTGGGCTGCCACCAAGAGTTATGTCTGGGTCCATGGTCCTATTGCAGCCAGGGTCTGTGTTGATGTTTGTGGCCAGTGTTACCACCAAAGGCCAAGTGTATGTCTGTGGTCTGGGTTGCAGCCTGAAGCCATGTTGATGTCTGAGCACTGTGCTTATCTGGCTCTGCCCCTCACTGGCTGAAGCACTCAGGAAAGCTGGACCTGCCCCGTGTCAGTGTGGGTGCCAGAGAAATGCCTCCCCTACCCCAGAGCAGGCAGGAGAGCTGACCCTGAAGATTAGAGAGCTGGTGAGCTGGTGAGCTGGTTCTGCCTCTCGCTGGCTACAGCACTTGGAAGACAGGGCTCCACACCTCATCTGGGCAGCACAGTAGAGCTGGCCCTGGTGGCATGGGCATGGGTGAGATGGCCCTAAGGGCATGAGCACAGGAGAGATAGCCCTGCCCCTTGCTGGCACTTGGGTGAACTGGTTACACCCCTCCCAGGGGTTGTGCTGGAGAGCTAGCCCTGGTGTCATAGCTCTGGTGGTATGGGTGAGAGAGAGCTAGCACCTACAGCATGAGCACAGAAGAGCCAGTCCCACCCCTTGCCAGTTGCCACAGGTAGGAGAGCTTGCCCCACCCCTCACTTTAGTAAAGCAGAAGAACTCTCCTGGTGACATGGGTGTAGGAGAGAGGGCAGTCTGAACAACTCAGCTACCACCTAGACCCAGATCCAGGGCTTTGAGTTGGTCCACCCCAACATCTGCTTCAACTAAGACCTGCTAGAGTCCCTAAAGGGGCTGGTCCTGCAGAACTAAAGCTGCAGGATCTCCATGACACAGGGCAACAACAGGATATCTAAGAGTTGTCCTGTGAGGATCTAGTATTGATAGTGTAGCAGAAGCCAGAGGCCTTGAACCAGTCCAATGATTCATTGCAATGAACATTTGCAAGTAAATCTGTTTGGGCAAAAGTGTATACTGTGTGACACACTGTAGCTTCCACAGTGAGATTTTTTTTGTTGGTTAATTTGTATGTTTTATCTTTGGGGAGAATGTTACAAGGGCAGAGGGCAGATACAGAGGGATAGGGAGATGAATGGAATTGGGGTGCATGATGTGAAATTCACAAAGAATCAATAAAAAGTTAAAAGAAAGAATATTTTCCAAGATAGAACTGAAAAACATTATAACACAAATCTTTTAATGCCTTGTATAGTTTCAATTAGTATGCAAGGGGTAAAAAAAAATTATGTTGACTTTATAATCATTTTCCAGGAACTAGAAAAAGAATAAAATGGACAAATTCATTACACTTCAGAAGCAAGGAATTATAAAAGCAGGAATGTACCTTATTGAGTTCCTCAAAAGCTTCATAAGGAAGGCTCTAACCATATGCATTTCATTGTCTACTGGTTTTTCATGCTATATTATCTATAACTTCTTTCGTATTTCTTTTTTGGTTAATTGGTGAGAGAAATAAACTAGACTAGCTGAATGTGAGAGCAGAGGGGAGGGAAAATATGGCTAAGCAAGAAAATCAAGAAAATGCTGGGGTTGGGGATTTAGCTCAGTGGTAGAGCGCTTACCTAGCAAGCTCAAGGCCCTGGTTTGGTCCTCAGCTCCCCTCCCCCCACCAAAAATAAAAAGAAAAAGAAAAAAGAAAATGCCTCTCCTATGATGATACTATTTGTACCTCCACACTAGAATGCCCTAAAATACTGAGTACTAGCTGAGGCTACGGGAGAGCAATGTCCAGGAAAGCTGCTATTAGTGAGCAAATTCTAAAATAGTAGCAATAAATTTGGTTTTTACAAAATGTGTAATAGATTTAAAATGTCTGTAACATCTTGGCTACCCTCCCATTAGTTGGATTTGTGTCCCTTCCACTTCAGTGTGAGCTCACTTAAGGTGACCAGCTCAAGTAACAGAATGGAGCTAAGTGTAATTCTGTAATCCTAGTATTCAGGAAGTGGAAGCAGAGGGACTGCTGTAAGTTGGAGCCTAGCTTGAGCTACATAGTAAAGTTCCCAGCAGGCCTGAGTTCACTGTGTAAACCTCCCCTTTCCTTCCTTCCTTCCTTTTAATAAATGGGAAGAAATAACATTCTAGGGAATTTGCATATAGTTATAGGAAGCCTGTAACTTCTTCCTGGCTGACTTAGAATGATTTCCTTGAAGAAAGCCATGTAAGAGTCATTAGTTAGCATGTCAGAATCAGAGCCTGATGCTATGGAAGAGGATTCTCCACAGAACCTAGGAGTATGTTTATGTGAAAGGTAGCTAGGAGAAGTTCTCCAATGCTAGAGGGAATAGACTAAGAAATGTAAGACAAAATGCATCTCTTGACTCATATCTTTGAGAAGTATATATGAATAATGGACTATGCTCTGTGAGGCCATGGTGAAATGAAAAACAGTCCAGAAGATCCTTAAAAGGACAATACACAGGGCTAGCAAAATGGCTCCACTGGAAAAAGGCACTTGCTACGCAAGCCTGAGAACCTGAGTTTGACCCCTAAAACTCACATAAAAATGGAGTCGTCCTCTGGCTTCCACAACCACAGAGTGGCACATACACATCATGCACACAAACATACACATCGATATTTAAAAGACAACACACAGACAGATGTGACAATTACAATATATAGTCAGCAGCTGACTGGGACTCTTTTAAGAAAACAAATAATGACAAACAGTAAAAAGGGGTAAATGAAGATTGCAAAAACTGGGGATTTCAAGAAGACTTAAGTTTTTCATGCTTATTGGGGCTATTTTTAAAAAAGATAAATGAAGATACTCAGAAAAAAAGAGTTATACTCCTATATGCAATCACTGAAGGCTCCAACACCTACCAGGGGCAGTGAAATTTTCCTAAAATGCATGTGATCATTTTCACACCCTCTGAATTTCCTGGTACGCCCTGAACACATTTGGGGATCAAGTGCATTGGGCTAGTTAGTATTTCAGATGCTGGGAAACAGCTGCGGTTGTATTAATAAAAATCAGATGCATCTAGAGCCTAGCTGACCAGCCATTCACAAATCGGAGGAGATTTTGTGTTCTCTGATGCCACCTAATGGCCCACCCACACTCACCATCTCTTTGACTAGTTTTATCCATTCTCAGGTGGTAAGAACAGATTTGAAATCCACTCATAAATAAGGCTATGTTTCCTCCAATGCAGGACACACAGCCAGATGGGCTTTAACCCAGTGGTCCCTAGTAATACAGGTACAGGGACCAGGACACAGACATGCCTCAGTGTATGCCACAGCAGAAGAGATAAACGGCCTCAAGTGGAGTCCCTGACAGCACTGAGTTTTTATCCAGCTGCTAGGTCATGCAAACAGCAAGAAAGATTTCATTGTTGATACTCTATTAATTTTTTCTCAAAATCATCTGTCATAAGTGTACAACAAACGGGATTTACTTCATTAAAAAATAATTTCATAGCACAACTTGGATATGGTTTTTAGTCTTTGTGTGTGCACACGTGAATGCATGTGCAAGCATATGTACATGCACATATATATTTGCATTTGAGTGCATGCACACATGCTACAGTGCATATGTACAGTTCAAAGACAACCTTGGATATCAGAGCTTGACTTCTACCTTGTTTGAGAAAGGGTCTTGTTTGCCTCTCTGCACACTATGCTAGCTGGCCCATGAGTTTCTGAGGATTCTGTCTCAACCTCCCATTTTACCATAGGAGCACTTGTATTATAGTAATGTGCTGTTACATCTGGCTTTACGTGAATTACGGAGATCCAAACTCAGGTCCTCATGCTTGTATGGCAAGTACATTATACACTGAACCATCTCCCAGCCCGATATTTGGATACATTTTATTTTGAAAGAACAGTGTTCAGTTTTTCAATTCAAAAATTGGCATAGTGTAATAAAAAATTCTGTTCCTTCTTTTGTTTTGTTATTTTGAGACAGTCTCTTATTGTGTACCCTGGGCTAATTTGGAACTTGTTATGCAGCCTAGAGTAGCCTCAAAATTGTGACTGAACACCACAAATCTAGCTTCTGTTTCATTCTGTTAATTATTAGCATAACTATTTCAATGACATT